GTGTGTGTGTGTGTGTGTGTGTGTGTGTGTGTGTGTGTTAGAATTGTTATCTCGAGATGCTGCCACCTTCATCAAACACAGTTTGCAGATCAATGTTATCATGTTCCCTTGTGGCATCGGGTCAAATCTGAAATGTTGCAAAATAGGCACTTTTCTCCCTGTGACGCAAAACCTTCTGCCACTGTCTGTCACTTCTCCTCCAGTCACATGATAAGATTCCACTTCTCTGCTGCTGCTGCACTGAGCAGACACTTTCCATATGTTACTAAAGCATCAGGCTAAGCATCAATAACTAATATTTTACTACTGTGACAGTGGGGCTGGTAATAAAGTTATGTAATCAGTATTTGTCTGAAAACTGTGTAACACACTGGGGCAACCCTACTGAGGATGAAACTGCATTAAGCGATTTTAAAGGAATTCCTGGAGTTCCTATGTTCAACAGTTTTACTGACAAATTGTGTGTCAATTCCACAGGTGAAAGCAGAAGCATCATGGGACTCCACCATCCATGAATGTCCCCAGCTCAGTCGTGGTGGAGCGTGGCCCGAGCAGCGGGTATACCTAACCATCAGAGTAGTGGTTCAGCTCAGCCATCCTGCTGACATGCAGCTGGTGCTGAGGAAGAGAATCTGTGTTAACGTTAATCCCGGCCGCCAAGGCTTTGCCCACAACTTCCTCAGACGGATGTCCACCCGCAGCACCATACCAGGATGTGGGGTCACGTTTGAGGTCGTCTCCAACATCCCCGGGGTGAGGAAATGAAAAGATGTCAGAAAGTCTGTGTTCAGCACAGTGGATCACTGAACACGTGTTTTATTATTGTTATTGACATTTATTGGAAGCTAGCGAAAGGAGAATTCAGGCAGCAGCTGATGTAATATGCACAAGATTTATGTTGACTTGATGCATCAAGGAGACCAGAAGGTGGAACAATATACAAACGCTAACAGAGTAACATGAGCAATTGTCAGCCCCTATTACTCCTAATGGTGTATTGATATAATGTAATATAGCATATACATAATATATATAGTGGCATATACAGTAATGTGTGAGGATGTTCAAGAATTGCTCAACAATTATGTGCTGTCCCATCAGGATGCCCCTGGATCAGAGGACAGGGAGATGCTGGCCAACCTCGCTGCCAGCGCACACAACAGCCAGTCAGGTGATGAAGAGGCTGCCATCGAGAAATACCTCCGAAGTGTCATGAGTCTGGAGAACATCCTGACTCTGGACAGACTAAGACAGGTAGACAGAGAAACTTAAAGAAATGCACATGAACGCACATAAACGCACATAAAAAGATAGACATGATGTGTATGGAACTAGTATACAACTACAAACTGTCAATGTGTGTGTGTGTGTGTTTGTTTTAGGAGGTAGCAGTGAAGGAGCAGCTGGCTGGCAGAGGCAGGAGCAACAGACGGAGCCTTAGTTCTCCCTCTGTCCACAGGGTAAAACACAAACACAATATACTAACATCCTACTTAAGACATTTTCAGCCTTGAACTCCGGAGAATGTCCACAGACTTGGTTCTAGACTTTCTTTGTAGTTTGCTTTTCATATGTGAAAAGCAAACTTGCGTTCTCACCCTTTATATTCAGTCTATGGTTCTCACATACAATGTCAGGAGGTTATCTGGAGTTCAGCGCATGTTGGACAGTAGCTTATGAGATGATCCCAGTATATTGTAATATGATCTCTGTCTGTCCATCCCCAGCTGTCTGGAAGTAGACAAGACTTATCCACAACCTGCCTGCTGGAGGATAAGGTAACATACTATTTGTTGATCTTTTTTGACATATGGGTAAAACAAATACAGGACACATATCTGATTATTTCCCCTTTTTCATATCTTCGTCTTGTCGTCTCTGTCTCCTCCTCAGGGTCGATGGGAGAGTCAGCAGGACATCTTCATGCCCTCTCAGTTTCACCGCACCCTCCCCCGCCCAGCCTCCTCCCCCTCCACCTACTCCACCTCCCCTTCTTCATCCACTACTTCCTTTGCTACGACCCCACCACAGAATCAGGAATCAGAGCAAGGTAAACCCCCTCCCTTTAGCCCCCCTCTATCTCTCTTCTCCCCCTATGACTACCCTGTACTCATCCATCTTACTCTCTTCCTCCTCCTTTTATTCTCCTGTTTTTTTGTTTTTTTTATCTTGGTTGGTTCATTTCTTCTAGGGATCCTTAATCTCACCAATCCTTTCCACCTCTTTCCCTTCAATCTCTTCTTCTGTCTGATGTTTCCATAACAACACATTTACTACAACATCTCATATGTCATTGTTTACATTGTAAGACGGTGGGTCGGGTCTCGTCTCTGTTCCCATCATTCCCTGAAAATGTGATGTGTACTATCTCTCCTAAACTTCCTTCTTTCGGTTTCATCTCTGCTGTTTTCTGACACTGTGAATGACTTTCCCTTTCTGCTCATACTCATGACTTGAGATTCGAGTGTCGAATCAATCTGTTCCTCTGTCGGCTGATTCATACTGATTTCTTTTCCACGTCAGTCAGAATCAGTGTTACTGTGACACACGTTTGAGATTAATTCTGTTTTGAAAATGAACAGAGTTAATTGATTTTTGATTCATTTCTCTTTTCAGTTAATAGACTGCTCCTAGAATGTTTTTCATTGTATTTGCTAAAACAGCCATCTCCACCTGTGCCGGCGGATGTTTGCTCTCGTCAGTCTTTCACTGTGTTTGGGGGTTTTGGCCATTTCCTGAACTTGCTTTTCAACTTCCTGTCTTAATCTTTCACACGTCCTCTACCTCCCGCACCTCCTCCTGTTTCCTTGCCTCCTTCCTCTCTTCTACTTCCTCTTCCTCTACTCTCGTCTCCCAACCCCCCTCCCCCAGGTCGCTTAGGACTTGCTGCCTCTTATCTTTCAGTGAAGGCGCTGGTTCCTCAGATGCCGAAACTGCTAAAGTCTCTGTTTCCTGCAAGAGATGACAAGAAGGAGCTGAGACCGTCGCCGCACAGCCAGCAGGTCAGCAGATGCAGGGTCGTAGAGTTCAGTGACACAGAGCACAAACCTTCTCCATTGCCTGAACAGTTCTTTTAAAACTTCACTGGACAAAAGTCCAGTTTACACACAATTGTCATAGTCATCAGATCACTGCACCGCTCACACTACACAACTTGTCTCGTGAATCTTGCAGTCGTTGTGAGGTCACGCTACAGGGAGTCACACCCTACACCAAACTATGTTTAATCACTACATAACGTGCAAGAAGAGACATGGTGAGTCTGACTGATCCTCCTGGTGATGTGTCATCCTGCCAGAGAATTACACATCAAGCTGGAGGAGGGGAAACTCTTCAGTAGACATCATTTGTAAAGAATAGAGAGCGGCTAGGGCCACATTTTTCCATCCAAACATGTCCGAGCCCGAGAAAAATAAACCCGAGCCCGACAGGCATTTTGTTTTTCTTGTCTGAATCTGAACCGAGTAGTTCAGTAGTAATGCAGTTAATGGAACCTGCACTGAGTTTGTGTTACCCTCTCCCTCGCACACATGGCTATTGTTTGATTAGCCTGATTACAAACACGTACAGTGTAAAATATCAGGGGGCACCTTACCACTGCATGTACCCTAACCACCTTCACTTTGCCCTGTGCTCTGATTGGCTGGAGCTGCCTGACCGTCTATGGCGAACTAGTATTCCAGCAGATTGGAAATCTGATTGGATGCAGCGAAGCATCAGTGATGTGTCGGCGAGCCTCTCTCTCTCTAAGAGTTCCCACGTAGTGATTGGAGAGTGCTCATCTCATCTGAAACTGCCAAATCCGACTGAAAATTGTGTACTGCGCTTTAGTGGAACTTTGAGTGGAGCTTTATTTGATTGTGTTAGCATGTGCATGGTACGATCAAAGTGTTTGATATCTAAATAAATTCATCATACTAGACTGTAACAATTAGTACATTCCCAGTATAGTGAACATATGTGCATGCATACATGTACCCTTATTTCCTTGTCCTGACTTGTTCGTGTTACCCAGCAGCATGTGCCTCGCATTGTGACATCACCCGGAGGGGACGACAACAGAGTCAAGACAGAGACGGTGAGACTGTGCCCCGTCCTCCCCCCTCCCCCTTACATGTTGACTTCTGTTTCTTTTATTACTTCTGTTGGTAGTAAATTAAAATTTGATTCAGAATTATTACTTTACCAATACATTTAGTTTGATGTCACAGCAGAACAGAAATTATTTATATTTGATTGTGTATTTGTCCTTTGATGAAATAGTTTTTCTGCACAGCCACTGCTGCATTTATTAAGTAGTTAAGTTAAGTTATTTTCAACTCTTACATTTACATATTCACATCAAAACATTATTGGTCACTTGAGTTACAGTACATCTGTCCATACTGACCTCAGAGCAGTTCAATTGGGGATTTGCAAGAGAGACAGAGAGAGAGAGGCAGAAGCTTAAAAGACAGGCATTCTAACTCTTAGTCCTTTTATGGAAAAACACCCAATCCTACATTTTTCATAATTCAGTTTTATAGAGTCAATAATTACCCCTAATTAGAAAGTTGCTTCAGAGCCACAGAAGACTGTCTCCAACTGTCTTTATTGGCAAATGATTAAAGAACATGTACATGTAATTTACAGTCATTTTCCTCCAGTGCAGCTAAAGCAAAAATGTGGCTCCAGTAGTTTGAGTAAGAAAAAGTATGGTTTTAGAATATATATTACTACTATTAGTACTATAAAGACAGCGGCTCTGGAGGATACGCACCAGATCTGACTAACTCAGACTGCAGACGTCTCATAGCATCTCTGCTTGAACAGGGTTTTTACACAGAATGAGCATTTACTTGCACTGAAACCACTTAATGAAGGATCTCTTTTTGAGGTCAGTATGGAGAGGAGGAACAATAACAGTGATGGTGCATGTGGACGTGTCAGTATTGTAATAAGACACAAAATGTGAATCTATCCTGTAATTATCTGGTTTCACCAGTCGGGCAAATGAGGGAAATTAATAGAAATAATGCACAGACCACGCACTTGATTTTACTTCCTTTTGGCTCAAAAATGATTCAAGCATATCTGGGGAAGTTGATTATTAGTGCTGATTTTGTTTTGGTTCTTTTTTGTTTTGCCTTGTCTGCATGTTCTCCTCTCTCCCTCCGTTCCTGCGGCAACTGTGGGTTTCCTGAAAACCGTTATTCTGCAGCCCTCAACCAAAGACAGGCGGGCAGAGTTCCAAGAAGTCCCTCCTCTTCCTGTGCATGACCCGCATGACATCACCCCCCTAAGCCAGTCGTCAAGCGGCTACTTCTCCACTAGCGTTTCTACGGTTACCCTGTCTGACGTCCTCCAACCTTCCTCCTCGTCCTCCTCCCTCCTGGCTGCTGAGACCGCGTTACCCTCAAATCCCCAGCAGCAGCAGCAGGGTGCTGACAGGAACGATGTTGTGACCTCTCCTTCTCAGTGTGCCGCCAAGATGGCCGCCATCGTGCCAGCCTCTTCCAACAGCTCAGCCAATCACAACAACGTCACGGTGGAAAACTCCTTCTCCAAACCGAGGCTGGTAAATTCAGGAGGAGGAGGTGACGGGTTTGAGAGGCTGGAAATCTTTGTGGACGATGAAGAGCGTAGCCGTGTTGACATTCTGCCTGAATGGCTGACGGACGGGTCGTATGTTACAGTCGGAAGCAATAAGGCGGGGACAGTGCGCTACGTGGGAATGACGCAGTTTGCAGAGGGCGTGTGGGTGGGGGTGGAGCTGGATACACCTGTAGGTAAGTACACGATTAAAGGTTTAAACAAATTACACACAAACTAGAACGGCACTCAGAGAGTTCATACCTCCTTATGACACCACATTTATATTCACTAGATCCAGACTTTTATTTGGATCTGCACTAGATTGCAAACATTTTTAAATCAAGATCCATGAATTATTCGCTGAGGAAATCAACTAAAATGTTGACAATGTTAAAGAAAGTTCCCCCTGATCCAGATCCGCATCACAATTTAAACAATTCTTCCCTGACCCACATCCTTCCACCAAGGTTCGTGGTAATTCATCCAGTAGTTTTTGCTCAATCTTGCTCACAAACAGAGAAACAGTGAAAACAAAACCTCCTTGAGAATCAGATTTTGTTCAGTGTAAATAAGTAATAGTTATTTAAAACAAGCGAACATGGTGCTATTAATGATGATGATTATAATGTCTGTGGTTGTGTTCTACAGGTAAGAATGATGGATCAGTCGGAGGTCACCGGTACTTCCACTGTAAACCGGGTTACGGGGTGCTGGTTCGCCCAGACCGTCTGTCCTGTCGCGACCGGACCAGTCGACGGACGGGAGAGTCTGCTCCTCCCGCCCACGTCCCCATCCTGCGAGGAGAAGCCATTGTTGCACGGAGGGGGGAGAACCGCAAGTCCTGGAGCAGTTGAAACACAGAAACAAGAAGCTTGATGAGAGAGATGAACTCCTTACAACCCTGCTCCTCCTGCCCCGCCTCCGGCTCTCAGCTATGCAACAGGCTAACGCATCAGAACTAACTTACTGCCGACGCTCCTATTGAAGGAAACAACACTCACATGTTACGTTAATGGATAGAAACAGAGTAACGAGACAGTTCAGAGTGAGTTTCTGAAAGACTATGCAGTGTGTGCAGAAGTCTATGAGAGGACATCTTGGAAAGTAAAAATGTAAATGAACGGCGGTCAGTGGGACGACTGCTGAGAGTGAATGGAAGCAGATCTCATCATGTTTGGAGGGAGTGGACAGGACGCTGCAGACGGTCTGATCTGTTTTCGCAGCTGATTTACACGGATGCAAACTACTCACTTCAACTATGTTTTAAATCTGGGGGAGGTAAAAAAAAAAAAAAAATTGTGTCAGCTCTTACAGTGGCTGCTGACTTCTGCTGCATTTCCAACCTGTGATGTGTTTGCATCCCTGCATATGAAGTGTAGACCCAATGTCCCAGAATTCCCTGCTCCGGCTGCCACTTCCCTGAACCCCTCTGGGTCCAGTCTGCAGACTGACTGACACTTTGACTCATCGTTGGAGACTCGTCTCTCCCTCCCTCACTGACTCCTTTTCTTTTCTCTTGAAGATAAGACTCTCCCAAAATGTGCCTTCACCACGGCTTGTTTTGCAATTTTTTATTTCTGTGTATTTAATTTCCGTTGGCTGTTTGTGTCGAGGAGAAAGCCTTGTGCTACGTGTGAGGTGATCTCAGGGACTGTAGTGGGGAAAGGTTAAGGATGGGCGTGAGTGTGTGTGTGTGTGTGTGTGCGTGCTTGCGTGTATTTGTAAATGTTGTACAGTGTTGACATGTATGCACAAGTTCATGTTGTAGTCGTGTTGGTGTTGAAGATGAGACGTGTGGAGCAGGAAAAGTGTGTCCTTGTTGGACAGAGCCACTATGGGAGAGAGTTAGTTTGTACTGGGAGGTTTTAAAAGTTTTGCACTTCAGATGTTGGATAAGAAGCTTCCGTAAGTAAGGTGGTGAAATGGAGAGGTAGGGGACATGTTATCAGACAGAGGCTGCTGTAATGTGGAGACAAGCATATCTGGGCTTCCTGGATGCATGTATCTGACAACCAGGAGGTGCTGTCTATAGAGGAGTACTGTGTTGGTGGAAATAGACACGTGTGTACGTTGAGGAAAAGAAAGTGAGATATCCTGCAAGGAGTTTAATGCTTGAGAAAGATTTGCTTCTATGCATTTTAATGTGTTTTTAAAAGAAGTTTAAAAAGATAAATTAAGTTTTTATATTTTATTTCTAAATGACAGACACAAATGGGAGAATGAGCTGAGATGTACGTTTTGGGAAAGTTTTTAGATGCAGAAGCAGTTTGGATGGAACATTCCTGACACATCTGCTGGAGGAAAGGAAGACAATGGGACGAACTTTGGGATTTTTTCATTTTTAAGTTCATGTTTTTCTTGAAAATTCTTGAGGGACTTTTAACGTTTGATACTGACCTCATTCCTGTGTATTAATTTATAGGAAAGCATTGGCAGTGCACCGCAGCAGTTGGATACTTAACGTTGGTCATAAATCCATGAAGAATGTTGACAGAACACACATGTGCTTGAAAAACGTTTTCCATGAGTTAAAGAGCCATTCCACAAGTTTTACAGATGACGTTCAGTTTATTCCTCCTCAACGTCTGTAAACAGTCGTGTGTTGTCTCGTCTGTTGTGGCTCTGGAGGAACTTTCTGTCAGGTCTGAGAAAATAACCCTGTGATGTCATCAGGGTTACACCATGAAGACTACGAGGAAAGAACAGGGAGCGCAGAGTTTGATGGACATGCGTGTTCATCATGTGGGGAGGGTCTAATGAAAGAGTCACAAAAGCCATTTTCAGAAATGACCTGCGGGTAAAATCCGGACATTTGGCTTTAGAGTCAACCTGCAGTTTCAACAACATTATTCAGGCAAGAGGTGGAGCAGACAGAGACAGGAAGTGATGCATTAACTCTGCTGTGGAGATCACGTGATTCTCTTGACCACACCCAGACACCCGTGTCGGCTCTTATCACCACAATCTCTCTTGACATCTTCGTCTGTGTCCTCCACGTGTGTGTCAGCACTTTTTCACTGGGAGATACTTGTTTTCTTTTCATTTTTGCGACTGTTGCCCGTTGAATCCAGCAGGGATGACATTCACACATGCACCCCCTCCGGAGGATCTGTGGAGGTCAGTGCATGTCTGAAAGCAGCTTAAGTGGGACATGGCGGATTCGTGCGATAGTAGCAACGAAAAAATCACAATATTTCGGCCTCTGCTGCTTTGATTCCTTCATTAATCGGTTTCGTAATTTTCCTCGCTTTGTAATTGAAAAATACAAAGGTCTGAAAATCACAAGAAGAAGGTTGAATTCAAGAAGAAGCGCTGGAAGTCACTGGAATGGGATCATTCACAGTGGTTTATAGGACTCAGACTGAGTCTCAGTCAGAAATGTATATCCAGAACCAGAGCTGTTGCGAAGGTGGGCGGTGAAGAGTCATCCTCAGTCTCTCAGAGCGATGAAGCTCAGTGGCTAAATCGGTTGCGGAAACAACTTGGGACACTTTTCCCTCAACCAGGTTAAGTTCATATCCTAGTGGTGACAAACCTTAATGTGTTCGTAGACATGTTAATTCATGTCCACTGAGTCAGGCGTTTGTTGTTTGCTGTTTCTATGGTAACAGTTAAATGCATACAAAAGAATCTGATAGATTTCAGATGGAGATGATATAGTGACTTGTATAAAAACATTATATGGAATACTGTATGTGCATGTAAAGGCACTGAGTATTTCCAAACACTATCGACTTTGTTGATAAAGCGTGTTTGTTTTTCCTCATTCCTGTATATCATGTGTTTCTTAATTCAAGAAGCGAGATTTTGCTATTTATATTTAAATGCTCGTACACATGCCTTTATCGCATGAAAACTGATAAAGCCTTTTATTTGAATAAATCTTGCACAAATGATTCCATGAAAATTGCTGCTATTAGCATTGTAAATTAACCTGTAAATGGATCAATTGATTTCTCTATCACCCTGTCTCTTTCTGTTTACTAGATTGGACTTCTGTATTTTTCTTTTCTCTTTAAATCCTGATGGAGAAACTAATGTCAGCGCTTTGGGTTCAGAGACCAATACATTTTTTCACGAATAGCTACAATTTTGAAAACGAGGCACTTTGTTTAGTCAGCCTTGAAGAAGAGATGGATAGAAAAATAAAATCAGCTCTGCATTGATTTTAAAGGAGGACTGAAACTCAGAGGCGTGTTAAAGCTGAAGTATGAGATGAGGCCACAGTGTGTCGCCATCGTCTAGTTATTGTCTGTGTATTTATTACTGGCCTCAAAGCCCCAGGACCCTGGAGTTCTCTGATTGGTTGGTTACTGTAGGTCTGGCGTGTTATTGGTCGGCAGGTTTGTGAGGCGCTCTGTAGTTCGGACTTGATGGTTTGGTTGTTTTTGTTAAATGTGGTTCATAATAGTTTCGTGGTAAATGAAGGCAGAGAGGAAAGTTTTTGTGTGTGAGTGTGTTTGTGTGTGTGTGTGTGTGGCTACAGGCTTTGATCCAGTTGTGTCAGCAAGTTCTTACCGAGGTGGGAAACGACCGATGGCTGCCTCTTTCCTCAGGATATGAGTGAGAGACGCTCGGTGGCCGATCGTCTTTCCCGTCCTGGTCTCAGCTTGCACACTTGGGTTCGGGGGTTAGAGATCACTTCAAGCTTCTGGCTGTTTCTTTATGTTACTGTGCCTCTGAAACCACGTGACCATGTATCTTCCACACACTGTTTTTCATATCAGTGCTTCAGTTCATTTGCACAAAGGTCCCCAGAGGGATTCAAATAATATCTCTGGAACAAGTAGGAAGAAAATATAACCAGATTTTCATCATTCAGATGTTTTTTTTATTTTCAGCTTCATGTCACAATGTTTTTGATGCAATAATCCTTCGCTCACTGCTCTACTGCCAGTCATGGAAAAAAAAAAGAGGGAATTTATTAATATTGCAACACAGTATTTTACATGAGCGCTCAGCTCAAATGTAGTGGTCAGAAAACTTCCAGCAAACCTCTATTTTTCTCCGTACAGATGCAGCATCACGCATCGTCAGGTGAAGTGTGACGCTGACATCATATAGACACAGATGATGCACATGATCCACAGCAGCGAGAGCCATCGCAGCAAGAACCCGTCAAAAACAGACAACCTAGCATCAGTAACAACTGTTCTGAGCGGACTCCGTGTGGTGGATTCATTTCAGTGATGGTGTCCATCCCTGCAACTGTGGATTAGAGTGAAGCCTTCAGTATTATTCATGTGACTGTATCCACATCACCCACACTTGTCCGAGAACTTTCACACCATGTACTGATCTGTCCGAGTCCTCAGCCCCTCACAATGTTTCACTTTTTATTTGACTGTTTTTTTTCTTGTTTTTGTCTTAAGTGCTTCTGTTATGCTCAGATTTCGGTTCCATATCTTTTATTGCATTTCGCCTCCTGCTGCTGCAGCTGTGGGACTTCTGGTTTAGAGCAACGTGTCTCCTCTCTGCCTTAACGTGGCCTTTAAACTAGAGCCAGACCGGTTTTAGCAGGAATAATCCCAACTGGAGTGGCGGTGTCCTGTGCGGTTTTAGTGTGAGCGTTACAAACCCATATAAACCCACTTTGGTTTGACTCTGAAACAAAAAACCCCGTCAGTAATCAATTTTATAAAACCTGGAGTCATTTGTTCACAAGAAGGGAAGGCCATTATGTCGCCCCCTGGTGGCTACTGTCAAACCTCAAATATTGCATCCCTCCACTGCCCTCCAGCAGCGTGCCTCACAGCTTCTGCCTGCCCGGGATCACACCAATCCTTTAAAATCGTCTAAGTAGCAGGTCTTATTTGTGTGCTTTGAATCAAATCTTCCGTTCCTGCCTCCGCAGCGAGTTTCCACCTTGTGACTACCTCTGTCCCTCGTAGCGGTCGTCCAGACAATGTTCTGCCAACGTCCTCCCTGAGGCCTTTTAGCTGATACAGAGCTGTACCTGCTTCACTTCTCAACTGTCTGCATCCACTTCTCTTCCACATATTAGCAATACACGGCTGCGAGGTGATACGGCACAACCTGTTTATTTATTTTCCATGGAGAGCTGCAGCTGCTCTTCCTGGTGCATTTTAAACACAGTTAACAATATTCCCCCCAGGTACCTGCAGCCATAATAAACTGAGCTGTGTAATAATAGAAGCTGAAGGGGAGGGTTTGGTGCTTTTAAAGTCAGGGAGATATTCCTGCAAAAAAAAAAAAAAAAAAGCCCCTCCAGTCCCTGTATCCCGTCACATGTTAATCTGAAGATTTACATCACCAACAATGGTTTTAATGTGGCC